GGTCTCTGGTCTAATTCCTAGGTCCTTGATCCACTCTGAGTTGATCTTTATGCATGGTGAGAGATAGGGGTTTAATTTCATTTTGCTGCATATGGATTTCCAGTTTTCCATATACCATTTGTTGAAGAGGTTATCTTTTCTCCAATGCATGTTTTCAATGCCTTTGTCTAGTAAGAGACACCTGCATTTAAGTGGGTTTCTCTCTGTGTCTTCTGTTCAGCGGTTTCCACCTTATATCAGATAAAGTGGACTTCAAACCAAAGATACTCAGGAGGGATAAAGAAGGACATTTCATATTGCTTAAGTGAATCATATATCAACAAGACGTAACAATCGTAAATATTTATGCCCCAAACAATAGAGCATGTATTTACATCAAACAAACCCTTCTCAATTTCAAGAATCAAATAGACCACAACACAATAATACTGGTGACTTTAACACACCTCTCTCATCAGTGGAAAGATCTTCCAAACAAAAACTAAACAAAGCAATCATAGACGTCAATAATACAATCAGTAACTTAGACTTAACAGACATATATATATATATATAAAAATTTCATCCATCAACGAGAGAATATACTTTTTTTCCTGAGCAGCACATGAATCCCTCTCTAAAATGGACCCTATGTTATATCATAAAGTAACTCTTAGCAAATATATATAAAAAAAATAGAGATAGTACCCTGCATTCTATCGGACCATGATGGAATGAAATTAAAAATCAATGATAAAATAAAAAAACAGAAGCTACTCTAACACCTGGAGACTAAATAATATACTATTGAATGATACATGGATAGCAGAATACATCAGGGAGGAGATAAAAAAAAATTCTTTAGAGGTAAATGAGAATTCCGATACAACATACCAAAATTTCTGGGACACTATTAAGGGAGTGCTAAGAAATTTCATTGCATTGAGCATTAGAAGAATAAGAAGTCAACAAATAAATGACCTCATATTAAATCTCAAAGCCCCAGAAAAAGAATACAAAATCAATACCAAAAGTAGTAGAAGACAGGAAATAATTAAAATCAAGGCTAAAATCAATGAAATAGAAACAGTTGAAAAAATTGACAAAACAAAAAGCTGGTTCTTTGAAAAAATAAAAATTCATAAACCCATAGCCATCCTAAGGAAAAGAAGGAGAGAGAAAATTCAAATTACTAAAATTCATGATGAAAAAGGAAATGTCACGACAGATACCATTGAAATACAGAGGATAATTAGAAACTACTTTGAAAATTTATACCCCAATAAAATTGAAAATATCAAAGATACCAACAAATTTCTAGAGAAATATGAGTTGCCCAAACTTACTTGGGAGGACATACACAATTTAATCAAATTTATTTTGAGCAGTGAAATAGAAGACACCACCAAAAGCCTACCAACAGGACTGGGATTATGGCTTAGAGGTAGACTGCTTGCCTAGCATTCATGAGGCACTTAGCTTGATTCTCACCATCACATGAAAATAAAATAAAAAGATATTGTGTCCACCTATAACAAAAACAAAACAAATTATATATCTCATACCCAGGACCAGATGGACTCTCAGCTGAGTTCTATAAGACCTACAAAAAGAATTTTAATACCAGTATTCCTCAAATTGTTCCAGGAAATAAAAAAGGAAGAAACACTTCCAAATTCATTCTATGAGGCTAGTGTCATCCTGATACCTAAGCCAGACAAAGACACATCAAGGAAAGAAAACTTCAGACCAATATCCCTGATGATCATAGATGCAAAAATTATCAATAAAATTCTGGCACACTGCATACAAAAATACATTTAAAAAATAGCACACCATGATCAAGTGGAGCTCATCCCAAGGATGCAAGGTTGGTTCAACATACAGAAATCAATAAATATAATTTATCACATCAATAGACTTAAAGCTAAAAATCATATGATCATCTCAATAGATGTAGAAAAAGCATTTGATAAGATACAATACCCTTTCATGTTCAGAACACTTGAAAAACTAGAGATAACAGGAACATATCTCAACATTGTAAAAGCTATCTATGCTAAGCCACAGGCCAACATTATTCTAAATGGAGAAAAATTGGAGACATTCCTTTTAAGAATTGGAACAAGACAGGGATGCCCTCTCTGAGCACTCCTATTCAACACAGTCCTTGAAACTCCAGCCAGAGCAATTAGACAGACGAAAGAAATTAAAGGGATATGAACAGGAAAAGAACTCAAACTATTGCTATTTGCCGACATGATTCTATACTTAGAGGATCCAAAAAACTCCACCAGAAAGTTTCTAGAATGAATGAATGAATTCAGAAAAGTAGCAGGATATAAATCAGTACCCATAAATATCAAACACATTTCTATATATCAATGATGAACCCTCAAAAGAGAAATTAAGATAACTACTTCATTCACAAAAGCCTCAAAACAACAAACTTGGGAATCAATCTAACAGAAGAGGTGAAAGACCTATATAATGAAAACTACAGAACACTAAAGAAAAACATTGAAGAAGATCTTCCATGTTCTTGGATAGGAAGAATTAATATTGTCAAAATGGCCATACTACCCAAAGCGTTATACATGTTTAATGCAATTCCAATTAAAATTAAAATCAGGACAGCACTCCTTATAGAAAGAAAAAGCAATCATGAAATTAATTTGGAAAAATAAGAGACCCAGGATAGCCAAAACAATCCTCAGCAAGAAGAGTGAACCAGGAGGCATCATAATATCAGACCTTTAACTATACTACAAGAGCTATAGTAACAAAAATGACATGGTATTGGCACCAAAATAGACATGTAGTGTAGACCTTCCCAAACTCTTGATGGGAATATCACACAGGAAAAGAGCATTGTTTCAGAGGAGGGGGGAGCTTTTTCCAGATGTGTGGGATAGTCTCATCATTCAACACTCCATTATGAAAAAAGAGATATTTTTTGTTTTCTCTCTCCCTCTCCCTCCCTTCCTTTCTAGAAATATTAGAGATTAAACCAAGAGTGCTTCTACTACTGAACTATATCCCCAGCTCTTTAAAAATTTTTTATTTTGAGAAAATGCCTTGCTAAGTTGTCCAGGTTGGCCTGGAACATTTTGCAATGGTCTTGCCAGTCTCCAGAGTACTGAAATATATAGATATACACCACTGTGCCCAGTTGAAAGAGGAATTTTTGAGTCACTTGTCTATAGAGCTGACTTTCAGATTGCATGTTGCACTCACTAGAAGGGCCTCAAATTCAATTTTTTTTTTTTTTTTTGTATTGGAGATTGAATCGTGGACACTCTACCACTGAACTACATTCTTAGCACTTTTTATTTTTTATTTCAACAGGAGCTAAATTATGCAGGCTGGCCTTGAACTTCCACTCCTTCTGCCTCAGCCTATCAAGTTGCTAGGATTACAAGTGTATGCTACTGCAAATGGCTCTCTAGGCCATTCAAGAAACAAGGAGTTTTCCCTTTGGCCACATACATGTGAATCTACAGGATCTACAGGAAAGCTAACAGTGTAGACATCAAGGAAATGAGCATTATTGAAAAAGAAATGCCTCACAAATGTTATCAGCACAAAACTGGAAGAGCCTGAATGTTACTCAGCATGCATCTGCACTGTTGTAAGTAAACAAGGGCAAGATTCTTGCCAAGAGAATTAACCTGCTCATTAAGCATATTAAGCACTCTAAGAGCCAAAACATCTTCTGAAACTTGTGAAGAAAAATAATAAAAAAAGAAGGAAACCTGCTCTGCCTAGAGAACATACTTTGTGAAAACCAATGGAAAGGAGTCTGAGCTGTTGAAACTTATTCCCTACAAATTCATGGCAAAACAGTATAAATAAGACCTCTAAACTATAAAAAAAAAAACAACACAAAAATTTCCCTTAACTCCATAGAAATGTGATGTCTTCCCACCCAAAGAAACATTTAAAGCAAAAGTTGAGTCCTAAAAAATAGGAGATGGAATATATCAGATTGTATCACACATAAGTTAGTGTTGTTCATGATATGTTTCAGTTGTGTGTGAATGTCATGTGTATGTTGGGGATGATGTAAGATCTATGTCTTATTCCCTTTGGTGGTTACAAAAGTCTAAAAGTCATTGGCTTAGATTTAGCAAGAAAAGGTCTACTGTAGAACCGTCCAAGTCATCATAGGGCAAGTCTTAAATGACCTATGAGCAGTTCTGTGTACAGGAATTCTCTCTTGGAAAACTTTCTGAGACTTAACATGACACAAGGAAAAAAACAATCATAGCATTCAGAGTACAAGTCTTTCACATCCATTAAATTTATTTGTATTTTATTATTTTTGATGATATTATAAATGAGATTGTTTTCTTAATTTCCTTTTTGGATAATTTGATGTTAGTGTCCAGAAATGCAAGTGAGTTTTATAGGCTGATTTAAAAAACTGCGATTTTGCTCAATTTGTTTATTTCTTCTTATTTTGGTGTTGTCTTTAGAGTGTTTTTTGTTGTTGTTGTTGTTTTAGATATTTAGATTATATGATCTGCAAAAAGATAATCTTACTAATTCCTTTCCAATATAGGTGTGTTTTACTTTTTTTTCTTGATTACGTGCTCTGGCTACAGAAGCAGAAAGTAAAATGGTAGTGGAGGAAGCAGAAATGGAGAAATATTAGTCAAAATATGCCAAGTTTTAGTTACACAGGGTAAGCCTTAGAGGTCTATTGTACAGCTTACTGCCTATAGTTACTCATAATGTATTGTATTCTTAAATTTTTTGCTGAGAGGGTGGATCCTATGTTAAATATTCTTATCATAAGAATTATGATGCAATGATAAGACAACACAATGAAATTTCTGCAGATAATGGATAGATTTATGGCATAAAATGTGCTGACAGTTTCATGGGTGTGTGCTTGCCTCCAAATTCCAAGTTGTAAACATTATGCAAAACTTATAGCATGGCAATTTTTTTTTTAAACAATGTTAGAAGAAAATAAATTATTTTCTACACCAACTTAGTTGCAATGCAAGCCTTACCTGAAACTGTCTTTTGGTAAGAAACACAATCATGTCTCCACAAAGAAATGGCAGATCTCTCTCGGTTCTGCAATCCGGTTAGTCTTTCTGCTAGACCGCCTCTGTTTAATAAATTATAATGCATTAAGTTTAGTTTTTTAAAAAGGCTCAGAGTAATTAGAACATTTATATTTTATCCATACCTACTAAGGACAGACAAAATATGCAAAAATTTTAACAATTTTTTTTTTTGAGAGAGAGAGAGAGAGAGAGAGAGAATTTTTTAATATTTATTTTTTAGTTTTCGGTGGACACAACATCTTTATTTTATTTTTTTATGTGGTGCTGAAGATCGAACCCAGCACCCCGTGCATGCCAGGCAAGCGCGCTACTGCTTGAGCCATTTTCCCAGCCCCAACAAATTTTTTATATTATATTTTCTTCCTTGAGGATCTACCTTTCTTGGTCAGTTTTTATTTTTATGGAAGTTCCTTCTCTTGATTCTTAGAAATAAAAGCTAATATGTGATGTTCCTAGGATCATCACATTCTTAGATATATGACAGTTAAATATCAAGTTAACTCCCTTTCTATTCTTTCTTAGTTCATGTACTCATTCCATAAATAAATACTGCTTACTTGTAACCTGCTATATGATAGGTACCAGGGATACAAAAATAGCTACATATTATACCATGTGGTGGGGTATAATTCAATCAGTAAATGAGGACAAACAGATAAATGTAAAGTGAGTTCAGAGTTCCAGTCAAAAATAACCTTGCTAAACTGTTGATAGGTAGAACACCAATTAAAAGTATCTAGGTATGGGCTTAATACATACTATACATACATACATACATACATACATACATACATATATGTATGTGTGTATATATATATATATATTCTATTATTTGAAATCCAGAGACAACTGAATATCAATCACAGACACACAGCAGAAACACCAACAATACAGAAAAAGGAAAACATTCATGAATGGCAGGAAGACAATATGAAAGAATCAACATACAGAGACTTCACAAGAGCCCTTAGTTATCAATGGAAATTCAGATACATATGTTTACAAACATATAAAATCATAAATATCACAGAGGTTAGCTGCTACTAACACATTTATAACATCAATAAACTAGAAATCAAGATCAACTGTTAATCACCATAGCGGCCACATAATTTATCAATGTACTGTCTCACAGATTATATAGCTTTTCATTAATCAGTCCACTATACTATCTCATTTTTATTCAAATAATATCCTATTCAGGTAGAAAAAAATGGATATTAATATATACCTCACATGATAAAATCAGAACACAGAGAAGTTAAAGAATGCATCCTTTATTATATAACTAGTTTATATGAGGAACCAGCAATTAAATCCTAAAAGAAGTTAGCACCTGGTGCTTATTAAACATTTAAGAAATGACCATGATTGGTGATACTGCTTTTGTTGTGTCTTTAACATGCACTCTATTCTCTTTCTATTATTCAAAGATCTTATCTTAATACATTATATATATATATAATCTCTACCACCTACTCTTTTCCTATAGGCACCAGTTATTTCTGTGTTTGTGTCTATGTGTAATATATATATATATATATATATATATATATATATATATATATATAAAACATAAAATTTTAAAAACACCCAAATCTTTCAAACTCAGAGAGATGCTGAGGAACTTCTATTTTCTATACTTTATATTTCACTTATTATACAGATTCTTCTTCACATCATTCTGTTTATATGAAGAAACTCATTTCATTAGGCAGCTGAATATACACCTAGGCACTCTTACTCCAGAATCCATGCTCTCAGTCTTGATAATATACCTACCATCTCTTAAGAAATACTATTTAAAATTAAATTCATAATAATATACTACTCAGCTTTTCATCAATGTGACCAAATACTCAACATGAACAACTTAGAGGAGGAAAAGTTTATTTTGGGCTCATGATTTCAGAGGTTCTGCCCATGGTTGGCCAAATCCATTGCTTTGGGCCTGAGATGAGGCCAAACACCATGGTGAAAAGGCAGCAGTGGAGAAAAACTGCTCACCTTATGGTGGCCAGGAAGGAGAGAGAGGGAGGAGCCAAGAGGATAAGATATAATCTCCAAGGGCATTCTTCCAGTGACCTAAATTCCTCCAACCATGTCCCATATGCCTATAGTTACCTTCTCGTTAGTACTTTCATATTAAAATGGACTGATTAGATCACAACTCTCACAAAATATCTAATCATTTCAGCTCCTGCATTAACACAGGAGCTTTTGGGAATATCTCATATCCAGACTGGAACATTCCACTCCTAGCCCCCAGAAAGTCCATGTCCATCTCACAAAGTAAAATGTACTTAGGTTATCTCTAAGAGTCTCCATAGTCTTAAGAGTTTGGCATTACTCAAAAGTACAAGGTCAAAGTCCCTTCTGAGACTCAAGGAAAACTCTTGGTTTTGAGCTCCTGTAAAAATTAAAAGCAAGTTTCATACATCCAATATATAATGGTACAGATTAAATATTCCTATTCCAAAAGGGAGGAATAGAGGCATAGAAAGAAGGGATGAGACCAGAACAAGACAAAACCTCAGCCAGGCAAAATTTCCTATATTTCTACTTCTGGCATTTGGGGCACATGGTGGTAAGATATGACTTCCAGAGGGCTTGGGCAGCCCTGTCCCGGTTGCAGCACTGATGGCTTCTCTCCACAGTCAACAGCTTTGTCCAGCAGACAGTCCACATTACTTGCATCTCTTAATTCTTGGAGTCTCCATTCCAACTTTGTCTTCACCTTCACAGCTTCACACATTGTCCTGTCAGGGTCAACTTGCAGGAACTCCAACCCTGTTACAACACTTTGCCTGGCCTCCCAGAGCTTCCTTTGAAATCTTGGTGAAAGCCTCCATGACCCCTTAACTCCAGTACCCTACATTCCTGAAGAATCAGCACAATGTGGATGACTCCAAGATATGCTACCAGCTGCAGCAGTAGGTGGGTCCCCTGGCACCATGGCTGCAGTGGCCTTAATGCCTGGGTGGCTGAGCACGGTAAAACAACATTTGTAGCTCCTGTGTATAAAAAGATTTCCAACTAGCCTCTTCTCAAAGGAATTTTTACTTTTATACCCTTGAACCTATGATGGATGTGGCCTTGCCAATTTCTGAGATTCTCAAGCCATCTTTACTACTGCCTCTATGCAATGTATTTAACTTCTCTTTAGTGGCCATAAGCTCTTCATCAACCACACATTCTTTGGTCCCAATTTTACATTCACTTTCTGGACAAACAGCAACTTTTTAAAATCCTTCTGTTATGCTTTCTGCTCCCAAGTGGATAGCAATATACATGCCACCACCTGAATGCTCTGTTAACTTGAAATTTCCTTTGTCCAATTTAGTCTATCACCTTTAATTCTGCCTCTCACAGTCTTAGGACATGAGTAAAATGTAGACAGACTGTCTGAAAGAATGTATCATAAATGGACTTTGGTCCAATTTCCAATAGAATTCCCATTTCCCCCTCTGAAACATGAGTACAGTCTTTACTGTCCATATTCCTACTGGCATTCTGGTCTTCTGAACTCACTCTAGAATCCTCATTAAACTCCCCTTATAACATTCTAAGTCCTTTCCAGTCTGCACTCCAAAAATTTCCAAATTCTTTCTGCAAACTAGTTCCAAAAGTTTCTATAACCACAAGGTTAGGTGAGTCACAGCAATGGACCAATTTCTGTGTTAGTTAGCTTTCCATTGCTGTGATCAAAATACCTGTCAAGAACAATTTAGAGGAGGAAAAGTTTATTTTGGCTCATGGTTTCAGAGATTTAGTCCATGGTGGACCAACTCCATTGGTCTGGACCCAAGTTGAGGCAGAATATCATGGTGGAAGGGTGGTGGTGGAGGAAAACTGTTTACCTCATGGCCAGTGAGAAACAGAGAGGGAGGAACCAAGGAAACAAGATACAATCCCCAATTCTTCAGTGACCTAACTCCTCCAGCTATGCTGAAGCTCCTGTGTGTAGTTACTACTCAGTTCTTGCTAGGATGAACTCAGGAGGCTAGGGCTCCCATAATCTAATCATTTCACCTCCTGCATTAACACAGAAGCTTTTGGGGGACACGTCATATCCAAACCATAACACAAGAAGAAAGCAAAACATTGTGTTCTTTACACAACTACCTAGATGATTTTTTCCCCAAATATTGGTTCTCAATGCTATGACTTTAGAGAAGTTAAAAAAAAAATAGAAAAAATAGTAGCATCCAATAAAGGTAAAGTGTAGAGTCCCATTAGAATAGGAATTATAGGGTGAAAACTAAAAGCAAGAATAAACTTGTATACAGAAGCTACATACAAGAGGGAAAAATCCGAGTTCTCGGATAAAATTTGTGTCTCCAGTTGAGTTTAGGCACAGGTAGAGGTGGGAGGCGACTGTGCCGATGCCTCACAAGTCACTTGCTCTCTGCTCTGAATTGCCAATAGAATTCCTGCATGAATTTTTGGTCTGACAGAGCTGGACTTAATAATGGAAAAAGCATGCCTCTAATGAACAATCCTATTTCAAGTAAGAAAGACCTGTACCCACACTAACAAGAAAAAAAAAAAAAAAGTCAAAATGAAAATTCACAAAGGCCCTGCTATCTAAATCCAAATTAACTTTTCAAAGTAGTTAGCCAGGCTATTCAAAGATAAAATCCCAAACTCTAACTAAATAAAAATACAATTAATCTATCAGCAAGTTAACCCTAATTATTTTTTCTGTAAAATTGATTGGTAACCTATCTGAGAAGATTGTTGACATCAATTCAACAATCCAAAATTTCTATAAAATCAATATGAAGAAATTAAGAATAAAGATTAAAATTTTTCAACTTATATCCAGTCAAAACATCCATTAAAATATTTTAATAAAGTATACAACTAGGCAAAGAAAAAACAATGAAAATAATATTTTTAATTTTTGCTTTCTGTCAGATATAATAAACACTGTGAAAAACAACTCAAAATAAAAGCTATGGTTTTAAACATCCCCTCAAAAAAACAAAGCAAACAAAGAAAACAACCTGATCATAAAGCTGGGGAGATATAGCTTTATTAACAACATATTTAAATATGTAGACAATTATGCATGGATTCTTATTAGTTATGCTTCAAATAGTATCATGTATCAAAAACCAAAAAGAGAGAGAGGTGAGGCTGGGGGGTTATGGGAAGAGCATGCTCCCCAAAAGAGATTGAGTATCATTTCCCATGGAGAAACACTCCAGCCTTGGAATACCAACAACCACCTCCCTTGAACCTCCCTAGCTACCTCTTAACAGGTTTAAAAAAATTATTTTAATCTCAGCTCTGTTCATGCTAAGGTAAGTAAAGTCTATTTCTTACACTTCTTTTGTCTTTAGTGGTAGTAATTTCTCAGACCTCTGTTCTTCTGTGACAAAAGTTGGTTGTTTTTTACTGGAAATATTTTCAAGATGACATCTGTATTCAAAACATTTTGATTAAAAAAAAAGCTACACTTCAACAAATCATACATTTCTTGCAGAAGTTTAAAAATCACTATTAGGTGAGAGGAAAGTTTTTATTAACTTCAGAAATTAATTATACAGGGTCTTCATTACAAAACAATCCATGTTACCTTTTTCCCTGTTTCAGAAGGAGTCAGCCAACTGCCATTCCTCCACCAAGAGTAGACAGTGATCACTGCCCTTTCTAATCAGAATTTCTAATTCTGAGACTCTGTGTCTAATAGAAGAAAAAAGTACGCCCTAATCTTCATCATGTAGGATTAGGCCCTAACTTCCTTAATAAGAGTCCTATAGCGCAGGAATTAAAACCAAGAATCAATAAATGGGATGGACTCAAACTAAAAAGTTTCTTCTCAGCAAAAGAAACATCTATAAGGTGAACAAAGAGCCTACATCCTGGGAGCAAATTTTTGCACCTCACACATCAGATAGAGCACTAATCTCTAGGGTATACAAAGAACTTAAAAAAATTAAGCACCAAAAAAACAAATAACCCAATCAACAAATGGAGGACCTGAACAGACACTTCTCAGAAGAGGATATAAAATCAATCAACAAATATATGAAAAAAATGTTCATTATCTTTAGTAATTAGAGAAATGCAAATCAAAACTACTCTAAGGTATCATCTCACTCCAGTCAGAATGGTAGCTACTATGAAGACAAACAACATTAAGTGTTGGCGAGGATGTGGGGGAAAAGGTACACTCCTACATTGCTGGTGGGACTGCAAATTGGTACAGCCAATATGGAAAGCAGTATGGAGATTCCTTGGAAATCTGGGAATGGAACCACCATTTGACCCAGCTATCCCTCTCCTCAGTCTATAGCCAAAAGACTTAAAAACAGCATACTATAGGAACACAGCACAATGTTTATAGCAACACAATTCACAATAGCTAAACTGTGGAACTAATCTAGATGCCCTTCAGTGGATAAATGGATAAAAAAAATGTGGCCTATATACACAAGGGAATATTACTCAGTAATAAAAGAGAATAAAATCATGGCATTTGCAGGTAAATGGATGACCTTGGAGAAGATAATGCTAAGTGAAGTTAGCCAATCCCCAAAAAACAAATGCTAAATGTTTTCTCTGAGATAATGAGGCTGACTCATAGTAGGGTAGGGAGGGAGAGTGTGGGAGGAATAGATGAATTCTAGATAGGGCAGAGGGGTGGGAGGGAAAGGGAAGGGACAGGGGATTAGCAAGGATGGTGGAATGTGATGGACATCCTTATCCAAAGTATATGTATGAAGACATGATTTGGTGTCAACACACTTTATCTACAACCGGAGATATGAAAAATTGTGGTATATATGGTAATAAGAATTGTAATGCATTCTGCTGTCATTTAATCTTTTAAAAAAAATCAATAATAATAAAAAAGAACAGTAAGTCTCATTAGAACAGTGTATCTTCCATGCCTGGGGATGACAGTCCTAATCACATCAAAGTACCTTGATTTTTAAATATGTAAATAGCAACTTTAAAAGGGAAAATGCAAAATACACTTCTTAAATTTTTCTTAGAAATCACTAGAAGAAAGTAACATTTGCATATTGCTGAAGCTACTTTAATCATCTCTATTCGCCTTTTTGTTTCCCTCAGTACACCCCAGTACTGAGTACAAACAGTGCTCTTTTGTCCTCACTTTTCTCATCAATGGGACTGACTGGAAAGTGCCTTGTTCTTCACTGCTGCTTCAAGATCTTCTTGAACCCTCCCTGGATTCTAGCCCACCCTACCTGCACTGCACTTGGGGTAGGCACCTTCTGTGCTGTCCCTACCAACCGCAAAGGCCTTTCCTGTCTGCTGGCCACCATTCCTGTTGATTTCAGTGCCCATGAGGCTTTGGTGACTCTACCTCCCTATTCCTTGAACTCCTATCCAAGACTATGTTCCTCACCAACCTCAGCATCCATCTTCCACAGTCTTTCTCTAAACTTCAGAGTTGCCGACAGTCTCTGTCCATTAACTCCATTCTAAGTTACCCATCACCCCATAGTAGCCTGACTCTAAAAGCACCTGACAAATCTCTCCCCATCCCCCATCTATTGGTCCTGCCCAGACTTCTACAACCCATCTTCACCCTGCATGTACTCAATCCTGCCTTATCTATTTTAGCTTTAATGAACCATTAATATAACTACTTTCTTGGAACTTCTGCCAACTCTATTGAAGGTAAAACTGGACACTACCCACACTCTGTCTGTTTACACTTGCAGTCCCAGGGTTGGATCCACACTGGCTGGTCTATCTCAAGCTCAATTCAAGGCAACTGCTCCCAGACAACCCTGGAGCATTTCCCCAGCCTATTTACTCCTATAATATGACTGTTATACATCTTTCTTCACTCTCTCTATAAGCTGATAAAAGAATTTCTTATTTCACTGAAATAGAAGTGAACAGAAAGAATTTGCTTCCAAGCCACATGTATGTATGTACCTTTTCCCCTACATCCTTGCCACCATTTATTATTACTTGTATTCTTAATGACTGTCATTCTAACAAGAGTGAGATGAAATTTGAATGAAGATTTTGATTTGCATTTCCCTGACTACAATGGATGTTGAACATTTTTTTCCATATATTTGTTGGTCATTTTTACTTCTTTTGAGGAGTGTGTGTTTAGTTATTTTGCCCATTAATTGGGTTATTTGCTTTTTTGGTGTTGACTTTTTTGAGTTCCTTTTATATTTGGGATATTAATCCCCTATCAGAGGAGTACCTGGCAAAGATTTTCTCCTATTCTGTAGGTTCTCTCTACACTCTTGCTCCCTTTGTTGTGCAGAAGCTTTTTAATTTGAGGGCATCCACTTATTGATTCTTGGTTCTATTTCTTGTGCTTTAGGGGTCTTGTCTTCTTTTGATGTGGAGAAGATAATATCCATGGATCCAACTGTGCTCTTCGTGACCATGTTAACATTCCACAGAAACTCCTTTTCCATAGAACTGTCTACTACTTTTGCTTTTATCATTTGCTATTGTTTTATTCTTATTTGACAAATAAAGAGTCACAGGGTTGGGACAGGTCCCTATAGGCTGTTCCATGCAATCTACCTGGCCTGCCCAAATTACCACCTACTATGCTAGTGATAGGTATATTTTTCCACTATGGCTCTCTATACACACACCAACTGCTGTCCCTGAGTCTTGGCTCTCTCATACTTTTTGCATTTTCAGTGTAGAGCTAGCTAATCACTCTCATAATACCCATAAAAGTAATCTGATATTATATGTACTATCTATATGTACTTTTTTCTCTTTTTTTTTTTTAAGAATAGAATACTTGCCTTTAGAGTTTAAAACAGTACCTGAAGCACTGATCCACAAGAAAGTTTGATAAGCCCAACAACAATTCTCCATTCAGGAAAGCAATCAAGTAAGCTAGTTGTAATGAAATCCATGAATACTCAACTTGAATGAACAATTTCATAAATCAGTTCCAGAATTTAGGACTTCAATAACTGCTTATCAGTATTATAATTCTATTCTGCCAAATTTACTTCCCAAGGAAACAAATTTTTAAAAATTAACATTTGAGATTTACAGGGTTTTAAGAAAGAGAAAAGCTGGGAATAAAGTATTTAAAAAGATATAGTTTAACCTTAAAAGTTTCTTCTTCTTTGATGAGTTTTCTGGAGTCCTGGGAAACTTAGCTATATGCTTCTGGGGTATACACAAGACACTCTCTGTTGATTTCACTCTTGTGTTGAACTGGCTGTCCATAACCTGTCTTGCATCAGAACCATATTCCATGTGGTATTTGTGAGGGGATTCTGAATCAATGAATAGGACATTTTCTGAGTCATCTTCTTTGTTGCTATCTGATGAATACTCCAAAATTTCTGCAGAAATTGGCTGGGAAAATTAAGAGAAATGCAATTAAGTATTCTTTAGTCAAGCCCACATTCTTTAGTCAAGCCTATAATTCTATTCCTTTATGATTATGTTCCTTAAAACAGATTTAAAATATAGTATCTGTAGCTTAGACTGTTTTGACACAAAATCCAACAGTAACCAATATAAAATAAGATTAGGTTATGTCAATTGTAAAACACACATTATCTTATAGAGGCCACCAAAATCAGTATAAATATATTTCGATCTTCTTTTAGCAAACATGTTTAACCCATATAGGCAGTCTCTGAAACTGAACAAATAGAACTACATGAGAGGTTGACTCTAGTCATTGTAATGTGAACACTTAATTAAAAAAAAAAATTCTTGAGGCCCAGAATAGCCAAAGCAATTCTAAGTGAGGAAAGCAAATCAGGAGGCATCACAATACTAGACCTCAAATTATAGTATAGAACTAGAGTAACAAAAACAGGATGGGATTGGCATCAAAACAGGCTAGAAGACCAAAGGATTGAAATAGAAGACACAGAGACAAACCTACATAAATACAGTTACCTCATATCAGGCAAAGTCACCATAAACATATTGGAGAAAAGATAGCCTCTTCAACAAATGGTGCTGCAAAAACTGGAAATCCATATATAGTGGAATGAAATTGAATCCCTTTCTCTCACACTGCACAAAACTCAACTCAAAATGGATCAAGGATTCTATTCATTAGACCAGAGACCCTGTGCCTGATGAAAGAAAGGCCCGACTCTCAGGTTGGCTTAAAAGTTTATTTCCTCAACAAGACTCCTAAAAGAACAAGCAGCAAAATCAGAATTCAATAAATGGGATGGCATCAAACTAAAAAGCTTCTTCATAGCAAAGGAAAGAATCAAGAATGTGAAAAGAGAGCCTATAGAATAGGAAAAAATCTTTGCCACCTGTACCTCAGACAGAACATTAATTTCCAGGATATACACAGAACTTAAAGCCATAACACCAACAAACAAACAAACAAACAAACAAAAACAAATAGCCCAATCAATAGATGGACAAAGGACCTGAACAGGCACTTCACAGAAGAAGAAATAAATATGGTCAACAAATATATGAAAAAAATGTCCAACATCTGTAGCAATTAGAGAAATGCAAATTAATACTACACAGAGATTCCATCTCATTCTAGTCAGAATGGCAATGGTCAAGAATATAAGGAACAGAACTGGGGTTGTGGCTAAATGGTTGAATGCTTGTCTAGCATGTATGGGGCACTAGGTTCAATTCTCAGCACCATATACAAGTAACAGATAAGTAAATAAATGTCCATCAGCAAGTGTGTATGTGTGTGTATATAAAACAAATAACAATAAGTGAACTTCAAATTAGTGCAACCACTCTGGAAAGCAGTAATGGACACTCCTCAGAAAACCTAGAATGGAACCACCATCTGACCCAGTTATACCCTTCCTTGGTTCATACTGAGAGGGACTCAGAAACAGCACATTCAGTGATGCAGCCACATCAATATTATAGCAGCTCAATTCACAATAGCTAAGCTATGGAACCAACATAGATGCCCTTCAACAGATCGATGGATAAGGAAAATGTGGTATATATACACAATGGAATAATAAATCAGCCACAAAGAAGAATGAAATTAGGACATTTGCCAGTAAATGGTTGGTACTGGAGACTATTGTGCTAAGTGAAATAAGCCAGTCCAGAAAAAACAAAGATCAAATGTTCTCTCTAATATGTGGAAACTAATATACAATAAGTGGGGGTGGTGGAGAGAAGAGAAGTTCATTGGATTAGACAAAGGGGAATGAAGGAAAGGGAGGGAGGATGGAAATAGGAAAGACAGTAAGACAGCAGAATGGATCAGCTATAACTTTCCTAAGTTCATATAAAATACACAATCCGTGAAATTCCACATCATGTATGATAACAAGAATGAGATCCTAATTAGAATAAGTTATACTCTGTATGTATAATATGTCAAAATACATTTTACTGTCATGTACATCTAAAAAGAATTTTTAAAAATAAAAAACAAAAAAATTTGGATTTTAAAATTTAATGTGAATCTAAATAACTTTTATTATAAATCAAATAAAAAAATAGTGCATCTTTAATTTTTTACCATTTGATTTCACAAAGCAGTCTGTAAGGGTAAAGATGAGAACCTGACTTTTCTAGCATAATCCAAATAGTTTTCAGAGACTAGTGAGAAATTGCTAGTATCAACAGAAACTTTTTTTTTCTTTTTTTTTGCCCCTGTATTGGGGATTGAGTCCATTACCATTCTATCTCTAAGCTACATCTCCAGACCTTTTTATTTTACTTTGAGATAGATTTTCACTAAGTTGCCCAGTCTGTCCTTGAACCTGTGATCCTTTGCCCTGCTGAGTAGCTGGGGTAACAGCTGTAGGCTGCCACAATTGGCTAAATAAATACTCTTTAAAAATGAATCACTGTCTCCATTCTCTAAAATGTTTCTTCCTTCTCCTACTCAAATTTCTGACCTTCCATTCTGACCAGCAGACCCCTGCCTGAGCTCAGGACTCTCTAGGGGAACCCTCAGGTCACCAGGACACACCCCCTACCCTGCCTGAGCTCAGGACTGCCGCAGATCCACCCACACCAACCTGTGTGGGGACCCAGGTTCTGAGTAGGCCCGCGTCCATCCCACCACTGGCAGACATCTCTACCGGAGCTCAGGCTCTGGCATAGGACCGCCTCTTCCAACCAACAGACCCCTGCCAGAGCCCAGGCCAGGCCCAAATCCACCTACAGGGACATATGTGGGACCCAGGCCAGGGTAGGTTCGAGTCCACCACACCCCTGCTCCCAATCTGGGAGCCCAAGCCTAAACCACTTCAATCTTGAGACACTACAGACATCACCATAGCCTACCCCATGCAGCAGCCCCTACAACAGACAGGGCCTAGAAGCAACTGCATCACAGAGCAGGCATCCCAAATACTGTAAGGCCCAACCTTTCAGGCCCATCTCTGTAAGATGCGGCATCCATCTTGGGGCACCTCCACTATTATCTCAAGTTACCTCGGCTATTGCCGCCACCACTTTAGTTGCAGAAGTATACACTGAGGGACACCAGCAGGGTCTGGAAGCCCAACATCAAGGTGAGGTTCAGACAATCTGTATGGATACTACAAGGGTAGAAAGTGTAATATCTCAGATTCTGCACTGCAAGATTGGAAGACACATAGACAACATGAAAAAACAAGGAAGGAAAGTGCCCCAAACAAACCAGGATACTACAATAACAGAACCCATGGACAACAAAGTTGATGAAATGTCAGAGAAGGAGTTCAGAAGGTTCATAATTAAAATGATCTGTGAATTAAAGAATGACCTAAATGAGTAAATACAGGCAAAAATTGATCACTCTAACAAAGAGATAAGAGAGAAAATATAGGTAGCAAAAGATTACTTCAAGAAAGAGATAGATTCTGAAAAAAAAAACCCACTTAGAAATCCTTGAAATAAAGGAAACAATAAACTGAATAAAATACTCAATTGAAAACATAGCCAACAGATTAGATCACTTGGAAGAAAGAACATCAGATAATGAAGACAAAGTATACAATATGGAAAATAAAATTGATCACACAGTAAAGTTGGTAAGGAACCATGAACGGAATATCTAAGAATTACAGAATAGCATCAAAAGACTAAATGGAAGAGTTATTGGGATAGAGGAAGGCACAGAATTTCAAACCAAAGGAATGCACAATCTCTTCAATGAGATAATATCAGAAAGTTTCCCAAGCATGAAGAATAACTTGGAAAACCAAATACAAGATGCTTACAGGACAGCAAATGTATAAAATTACACAGCTACACCAAGGCACATTATAATGAAAATACCTAGCATATAGAATAAGGATAAAATCTTTAAAAAAAAAACAATACCTTTATTTTTATTTATTTTTATGTGGTGCTGAGGATCGAACCCAGGGCCTCGCACATGCTAGGCAAGCGCTCTACCACTGAGCCACAACTCTAGCCCCAAGGATAGAATCTTAAAAGCCCTAAGAGAGTATGAAATATGATATGTCAAGAGCTTTGTAATGTTGTGAACAACCAATAAAAAAAAAAAAAGCCCTAAGAGAGAGGAAACAGATCACAAATAGGAGGAGACCAATGTATATATCAGAAAAATTTTCAACGCAGACTCTCAAAGCCAGGAGATCATGAAACGACATATACCAAGCTCTGAAAGAAAATGGATGCTAACCAAAAATCTTATATCCAGCAAAATTAAGCTTTAGATTTGATGATGAAATAAAAAACTTCTGTGATAAACAAAAGTTAAAAGAATTTACAACTAGAAAGCCTGCACTATAGGATATCCTCAACAAAATATTCCAATAAGAAAAATAATGATGAAAATCAGCAGGGGGAGGTATTATACTAAAGGAAAACTAATCAGAAGAGAAACTAAGTTAAACACCAAATAAACAAAAATGTCTGGGAATACAACTCATGTCTCAATAATAACCCCAAATGTTAATGGCCTAACCTCACCAATCAAAAGACAGCATATTGAAAGACAAGCATATTGAAGCAAAAAAAAAAAAAAAAAGACCCAACAATATGCTGCCTCCAAGACTACCTCCAACATAGGAAAAGATATCCACAGAGCAATGGTGAAAGGGTGGGAAAAAAAATCATACCACTCACATGGATTGTGGAAGCAAGCAGGGATTTCCACCCTCATATCAAATAAAGTAGACTTCAAGCTAATCAAAAGGGATAAAGAAGGATACTACATACTGCTCAAGGGAACCATACACCAACAAAGACTTAACAATTATAAATATATATGCCCCAAACAATGGAACATCTATGTTCATCAAATTCTTCTCAAGTTCAAGAGTCAAACAGACAAAAAAACAACAATTCTTAATTGACTTCAACACATCTCTTTCATCACTGGATAGATCTTCCAAACAAAAGCTAAACAAAGAAACTATAGAACTCAA